TGTCAAAGGGAATCAAAACCAAATGAACATAAATTAGTGAAACTCAATCAGTGGCGAATCTCGAAAAGAAGAAAGTAGGTCAATTGATCTGGATAATATTATTAAATAGTATATTTTAAAACATGTAAAATAATAAAGATTTTGTAGCATAAATGGTAGTTTTTCTAGGGATGATCCACCAGAAATCCAGATTCGAGTCTCATTCTTTATAATTGGAGACAATTTTATTTTATTTTTGAAATTATTGACTTAGGTATAAAAAATTTCTGGGACCGCCACTAGACTCAACAGTTTTTTTGTTTGTTTGTTATTTCTCCCTTCAAAAATTCGAAATATATGTATCTACGACATGCATTTTCGAGACATCGTATATCTTATGTTTTTTGCTTAATTAGCACAATTTTTTTCTTAGAACATAATTATTACGCTAGGTAATCACATGTTTGGTCATTTATCACAAATATTTTTAATATACAGCATAAAACTTAGGGTTAATTATCTTAATATTAGTTTTGAAGTAGATAATTAAGAAACTAACATATGCATAATAAGATTTAGGTATATAGCAGAGAGAATAAAAAGTTGGACGAAATTGTCTCTGCGAAAATTGAAAAAGAAAAGTGGTAAAAAATCAGTCAAAAACTTATATTAAAGAAAGTAGTCAAAATCTAAAATTAAGGAAAGTAGTCAAAATCATTTATTTCAAGGAAACTAGTAAAATTCCTAAATTTTTTACACCGACACCATTACTCTTTTTTTTTACAGAATTAATCACTCTTGAAGGAAAAAAAAATCGAGATGGATCTTGATTGATGCAAATCAATCTTGATTCAGTTATCTCATATGGCAGTATGGTTGACTATATTCCTACTTTTTATGTTGTTGTAGTTAGCTAAAATTCCAGCATTGATCTCAAACCGCTGTATAGTGGACTATATTCCTACTTTCTATGTTATTGTAAGCGGCAGATCTCGAAAGAAAAGAGAGATTTTTTTAGTTGACTATATTTTTATTTTTTATGTTATTGTAGTTAGTTAAAATTCATAATTTGTATAGCTGACTATATTTTTATTTTATATGTTGTTGTAGTGAGTTATTCAAATAATAATATAATGAACTATATAATCTTTACAATAATTAATTAAATTGTAATAATATAGTTAACTATATAATCTTTACAATTGTATATCTTTTAGTCTATGTTTATCAAGA